GGAACTGGGGATTGAACTCAGGTCCTTGCGCTTGCCAGGGAAACACTTACTCCACTGAGCCATCTCCCCTGCCCCTGTGAATGTGTATTTTCTGCTGAGAGAGCCACAGCTTTCCCTGCAGTGCATCCAGGGTCCTTTTTCCACTCCAAACTGCCACCAAGGATATCGCAGGCACTTGAGAGTGACTTGTCATGCACGGACCAATAGGGATCTTATCCAGCAGCACTGTGTTTGAGACCCCTCAAGAGAGACAGGACTTGGTGTCACTGTGTTGGGGTTACCCACTGTCTTCAGGTCCTAATCCCATAGCTCAACAAAAGCCGACACCTGGGGAGCCTGCAACACCTCTGCTAAGTCAGCCAGCTGAAGGGCTGAGGTCAGCCTGGGCTCCAGAGGGGTCTCACTGCCACGCCTGCATGGGCATCAGCAGCCGCTGTCTGTCCCCAGTGTCACTGTGGTCCTGTGCCCACACTGGAGTTAGTGCAAGGTCCAGATGTGCTCCCCGGTGCCACCCCAGAATTCAATGAATGGTTGAAAGGCTCAGAACTAGAGGGATAGGAGTCAGGAACTAAGGTTCTCTGGGAGAATACAAAGAAAAAGGTAATCATCTTTGTAAACATTCTGAGAAAAGAACCCAGACCGATGTCTGTGTATCATCCCGCTCCTAATTTTCTGGGCCATGTGTGGCCTTCATTTATTCAGACAGACGCAGGCTCAGCCACCTGTGCTCTCTGGAGCCCACAGCGCCCTGAGCCAGCTTTGCCAGGCACCCATCCTGCACACCCTGAGGCTGACCAGCACCCCCTTGCCGCTCTTTTCCTCCCTACCCTTTGGGTTTCTGCCTCAGTTCCTTTTCTCTTGGTGCCCTAACAGGAGCTCACAGGTTCAGCAGTTTAAAGTCCTGCATATCAGAAGGTAGAAACAAGTGGGCAGGGCAAGGTTCCTTCTAGAGGCTTGTGTACCTGGTTCCTTGCCCTCTGCACCTTTTAGAAACTGCCATGCACGTAGTTCACGGCCCAGACGAAACACTAGCTGGCCACACCCCTCTCCCGGGCTTTCATTGTGCAGCTTCCACTCTGATCCTCCTGCCTCTGCCTTCTGCTTAATTATGAGCTGCTGATGACACTGGCCACACCCTCCTCACCCAGGGTCTCCCCTCCTCTGCTTCTCCAGAGTCTTGTGTTATAAGCAGCCGCCAAATCCTTCTGGCAGTGAAGTAACATGCACAATGGCTCCTGGTATTGGGACCTTGGGGGCACTGGGAAAAAT